GCCTTATACGAGCATTTTTTTCACATATATATTTTATATGATACATCTTTTCTTGTTAAGTTGAGCCTGTCTCTCCAAGAAGATTCAAGATATAAAATCTAAACAAATGGATGATCCTATAATACAAAACCATTGGACTTGGGCTTTGATTTGATTTTGTTTATTGTGACAGATATCTTCTAAATATAATTATATATAACTATTGATGTGAGTGTAAATGTGTCAACAAATTGGTTGAGAGAAAGAATTTACAAAGAGTTACAGTAAAAGAATCAGATTGAATACAATAAAATTTAAGGGATTAAATCGAAAAAATAAGAAATTTTACTAACTTAAACAAAAGTGCCGTGCGGAATATACATGGGGGAAGGAAAGTGTGACCTTGTAGTGAGAAAGAAACTTTAAGGGCAGAAAGGGCGTCAATATATGCCAAAAGAGCTGCACAGGTTGCTGTCTTGCAGCAGAAGAGACCAACATTTAATGTAGAAGCTGATATGGCAGGTTCTTCACTGAGCTCCCAGGCTTTGCCAAAGAAGAAGTGTCTAGCGCTGCATCTAAGAGCTATACATTTAAGAAAGGTGACAGGGTTAAGTTTGTAGGTGCCACATCACCTTCTGGACTTTCCTCTCTACAACCTGCTTTAAGGTATGTTCTCATATTGAAGTTTATCTTATATTGGTTCTTTCCTCGCTAGTTATGCCATCTACTTGCTATAATTATTGCAATGGATTGATGATCCTTCTCTTCATGTTTCCTCTTTTAAATTTAGTCGGGTCTTACGTTTTTATCTATATGCAGAGATTTTTACGCAGTGATCTATTTGCAGGGATTACTTCCCATTACAGACGTGCATATGAAGACTGCATATAAAGACTGTTAAACTATGTATTTATTTATTTATTTATTTATACATGCATTGCATTTTATTTTTAATTTTCTAACTGCCGGAGGTCTTCCACGGAAGCTGCTCTCAACCATGGCGTTGGGGACAACCTACTACCCTACCTCCCCTTACCCCATTGCATATGGGAATAGAGTTTTGTTGTTGTTGTTGTTGCTTGTTTTGCCATCCAGAGGAGGTTAAATCTCTAAAGCACAATCCCCCTATCCTTTGCCTTTTGGGTTACTCACTTTTTTCCGCTTGAGCTGATGCATACCCTTTCCTTCTTCCTTGTTGGTCCACCAAAACTTTTGGATCACTCTCATGATGCCTATAATATAGTATTCTATTTGAAATCTGTTAAAATATTTCATATTTTTTACATATTATATAATAATTTAAAAATATTTAATTTAACTAGAAAATTACAAAGTAGAATATCTGTCAGACTATTTTAGTGATTAAATGAATAATTATTCTTTTTAGATATCTTAGATTCGAGTAATTATGTCTGTAGTGTATATACACTTTGTAGATTTTGAAAACTTCTGGAATGATTGTGAAAAACTTTAGAAAGATACTTTGTAATCCTTCTCAACCATTAAAAAAGACCTCCTTCAACATGGCACTTACGGAGATAATGTCTTCGACGATGGTTGATTCAGTGACTGAAGACTCTGTCTGATCTCAACATCAACAACAGAGATTGGCCGCCTAGTATTGTCAAGAATCTCCACCCCTCATCCAAATCAAGTGTTGCATGTCCTAAATTTCGTATCGTTCTCGTAAAAGATATACACGAGTACGCGTTTATGTGTATCCTCTGAGTTTTTTTTTGGCGAAGACGACGGGTTTGGATTATAAATGCAATCAAATTGGATTGTATTTAAGTGACTTTTAACAGTATTATGTTGTAGAGCTCAGTGTTGAACCTTTTTTGAGGTTGCTAAGCTAAATTGAAGCTATCTTGGGGGTGTAGCATCCTTTGTTAAAAAATGCAGGAAACTCTTAGCTGACTCAAAGCAAGGGAAGAACTCGTATGATGGCTTCACACCTTCAATAAGGAAATTAGTCTTCAGCTTTGTAACTTGCTTTTATGGTTGTACTGAGTTACATGATCCATGTAAACGTAAATTAGAGTTTTTTGAAATTGGTATAGTGAATAGTTCTTGTATTCCGTGGAAACTTACAAGGAACTTGGGGAGTTCAGCTTAAAGCCATGAATTTGAACATAAAGGTTTATTCCTTAATGATAAATTTTTTTTATTATACCACTTTGAGATTTTTCTAGATTTTAATCAATGCCATATTTAATTACTTGTATTAAATTTAGTGTCAAATTATAATTATCTTTTGATAAACAATTAGGGTTTGAATGGGATTTTAATTAATGCAGTATTCTCATCTATTGCATCTTATATTATTTTCCATCTCCTTTTCAAATTACTCGGGTGATATGACACATTTTTCAGAAATTATAAATACATATGTATGCATGGTTTAATCTTTAAAACTGTTTTTTTTATTTAATTTATTATTAATAAAAGTATAGAAAAATATTTTTAAAATATCCCATCCTAGAAGAGAGTTTATGTTATTTTCTCCTTTCCCTGAACATATATTCTTCCATATGAAACTTCTTGCAAGCTCCATTACCTATCTTCTCCATAAACTGAAATCTCACACAAACTGTTTTCTTCACCTATTTGCATACACAACGCCAATAAATATTTATAGACAAATAGATTGATATAAATACTCCTTGATTTTGCTGATAGTGCCGGAAGAAACACGAAATCAAAGCTTCACCTATTGATATTAATGGTGGTGGTGGTTGCTTCCTCCTATAAAACTTGTATCCGGCCCTAAACAAGAAGGATCTGCAACGGATATTCCAGAAGGTCGAAAAGAACGAGGATGGCTTTGTTATCCTTGAGGAACTCAACTGGCTCCTCGACCGAATCGTGTCGAGTTAAGCCTCCAAGAGCTGGAGCCCTTGGTGGAAAAACCATGTATGAACTAGGATGAAATCTTTTGGTTCTATGATTCCATCTCCAAGAGTATGGTTGAAGAGGAAGAAGAAGAAGAAGATGGTTATGGTTGAAGAGGAAGAAGAAGAAGAAGAAGAAGAAGAAGAAGAAGAAGAAGATGGTGACCTTGCCAAGGCATTCGAGGTGTTTGATTCGAATGGAGACGGGTTCATTCATTGTGAAGAGCTGGAAAGCGCGCTGGGGAGACTGGGATTGTGGGATGAAAAGAGTGGTAAAGATTGCAGACGCATGATTTGCTTCTACGACACCAACTTCGACGGCTTGCTCGACTTTGAAGAATTAAAAAACATGGTGTTACACACCGTTTCTTCTTAGTTTCCAGCAACGATGACAATTAAGGTTTGTTGATGATACCAATCCATAAATCTCCAGCTTGTAGTTTCTGTAAGCACAATCTTATGTATTAGGATTATTGTGTTCAACTTTGTTCATCGTTGTAATATAATACTCGACCAATTTTCATCCTAAACTCAATTTTCGTTGTAGAATATGTAAATGTAATACTTGACTCTTTATTAACTAATTATTTCCATCCACTTAAGAATATTTTTGTCTTAAAATAAAATATAAAGAGTTAAAATGTTCTGAAAAATTAAATAAGAATTAAATTGATTATTTAATCAAATGTTAAGGTTTTTAAAATATTAGAGGTCAAAGTGCTAAAAAATTAAAAATAATTATTTAATTAAACATTAGGAGTATTTTTTTTTTGAGAATACATTTTTGCCTTTTGAAGTCTATATGTTACGTCCATGTATGGATGTGAGGGTGAGAAAAAGAGCTGTCGATGGATAAGAATCTTTTCTCCTAAAGCATTTGGTTGTTGCCAATAAAAAAGGAATTGTATTTTAGTAGTTTTTTCGCCAACAGGGAATCGAAGAAAATACTAGTAGCAGTATTTCTTTTTTGAGTCATTAATTAGTATACAACTTTTTTCAATTTTACATCAGAAATATAATTACCTCTACCTTCTTTTGGGCTTTTCAATTAATCTATTACAAGCGTACCAATTTATGATCTGAATTTTGTTATATTATAAAAATATAATAAACAACAACAACATATCACGAAATCCGTTGTAGTCTAGTTGGTTAGTATACTCGGCTCTCACCCGAGAGACCCGGGTTTAAGTCCCGGCATCGGAAATTTGTTTTTACCATTGTCTTCTTTTTATTTGTTCTTCTCGTTCCCCATATCCTTGCTCCAATCAAGCGGAACTGGAGTCCCACTGCTCCCCTTCATTAATGTTGATTAACCCTTCGCCTCATACACAGTTGATAGTAATAGTTTCGTTGACACGTAGCTCAGTTCCACATCATCTTGTTCCAGGCTGTCGACCCCCTCCATGATTCATACCAATGGACGGTGTTACACCAAGAGCATGGCTGCCGTGGGCGGGACAAATGTTTGCCTTAGAAACATTGATGCATCCATAATAAATAACTTGATAAAACGACAAAACCGGACCAACATTTGAGGTGCGCCGCCGGTGCTAAATATGGTGGCATGTCATCAAGTTCTGTAACTGATGAACCATTGGAGAAAGGGGTCCAGCTCCTAGCAGCAGGGGCTCCAGTGCCAGCACCGTTGCTGTTGCGAGCTGAGGAGTTCGGTTTTAGAGTGAGCCATTGCTACAGGTTAATTGAAACAGCTGTGTTCCTCGTGTCGTGATCGCGGAAACCTCAATGAGACACGTTGGGTGAGACAGATCGAGCCAGGTTAAGAACAAGGCAAGTGGCGAGGACAATTGGATTAATGGATTTGGATGTGGTGGATCCCATGTGAGATATTAGTGTAGAAAAAGATGGCTCAATCACTCGGAGTTGTTGTCAGAGGTGGGCGGTAATCCTTGGTTACTTGAAAGACCCGACTACTACATCTTCATGCATGCGAGAGGGTGGTTGGTTGGCTTTATACTTGGGGTGTTGCTGTTGTTCATCCAGATGTGTATTTAGTGATCAAGGTTCGATCTAAGCTAGGATTGTTTGAAGAGCATAATAAAAGAGAAATACAAGAGAAGAATTGCTTTAGAGCATGCATAATTTAATGCTTTACACCATGAACTTCTCTTCCTTATTCCATCCTTTTTCATTTCATTGTCATTCGTAAAGATAACCTGACAGAGGGATGTTCTAACAATGCCTAATGTTTTTCATACATGCTTTATTGAGAATCTGTACACGGTTTCATGGTTTAAACTTTTAAAGGGTTCCTAGATGCTCGAAACAGCACACCCCTCATTTGCATGAACTTTCAGAAGCTATAATACCGTAGGATATTATGCCTAAAAAGCTTTTTTGTCAAAGCCGACTTCTAAGCAATTCCCAAAATTTTCAATTGTTGTCTCATGGTAAGTTGAACACTCCATCTTGGAGCTAGATCCGGTAACTCTTAACATCAACCCTCCAGTGAGTAACAAAAGCACTTCATCTAAAATCAGGAAGAGTCGGTGCTATCACCTACCAAGTAACGGTTTTTATCAGTACTCAGGCCTGATGAATGAAGCTGCTTTCTTCTCTTTATAAGATGCAATGCAGTTTTCTTGTCATTTTGTGCATCCACAGAATCAGGCTGCAAAAAACGATATGGATTTAGCAAACCCGACCACTGCAATCTAAATAGACTTATCAGAATGGAGTCTCCCTCTTAATTACTAGGACTTACAGAATGGTGAAAGATATAACTAGGAAATAAGTATAAATAGATTTCACAAAGGGACTCATGGCAAAAAACTCAATATTTTGGTGAACAGTTTCATTAATCTGCGTCAGATTGACAATTCAAAGACGACAATATTTCACAAAATAGTTCAGTTGCAGGCTTTGCCTTAGAAATTCCCTCTTGCCTAGGATAAGTGTACAAGGCGCAAGACCAGTTTAACCAAAGAGACATTGGACTTCTAAAATATAAGCAGTAGCTTGAAGATCTGATAAAGAACACCTCCTCAAAATACAAGGCCGGGACAGGTAACCCGGAATGATAAGAATCGAAAATGTACCTTGATAGCTAATGCTCTGTCAAAACTCTCAATGGCATTATCAGGCTCTCCAAAGTGTAATTGTGCTCTACCAAGAGTGACCCATGCCTGAAAAACAAATACAGCCTCATATGAACACTACAATAACAGAAAGGTATTTCGACTAAACATTTTCTTTAAAGAAGCTATTAACAGAAGAAAACATTCAATTGCAATATCTCAGCATCAGCTAGCAACCACCATACATAGAGCAGGCATTGGAAATCTAGGGAAAACAGCTGCCCATGTGGAAAGAAAATCACTTACATGGTTTGATATACAAACTATTTTCCTCATCATTAGCTAAATTTGTGCTCTCTGGTCATCATCAGTTGATGATAGACTAGAAAGTACCAGGGGTAAAACAACATGAATGAGCTCAAATTTTGCATGTATCCAAATCGTTTGAGAAATATGAGTGTCATGTTTATGGAACATAATAATTATAATGGGGGTACGATGTTTCTCAAGGTATGTTACAAAGCTTCTTATTTGACATTGCATTCAGGATACAAGCTTGACATACCTCAGCCCACATGATGATTCCAATTCAGTTGCCCCTGCCAAGTGGAATCCACAGATAAGCAGACAAAAGTTTTGAACAAGTATATTCGCAACACAAACAAGCCATGGCACATTATATGTCCAAACGCAGAAGCATGTTCCTTAACTTCTAATCTTAATTATTTAACGAGCTTTAAATCAAAGAAGCATTTGGACAATGTCACTGAGAAACAACCAAGTGAAAAGGAACCGAGACATACGAGACGCTGCCTTCAATGCACTCCATGCATCCCCAAGTTCAAGTAGAACTTGTGCCTTCTGTTCAAACAAAACTGCGTTTTCAGGCATCAAATTAAGAGCCGCCTCCCACTTCCCAAGTGCTTCACGATATTTCCCGTCCTTCAAAAGAGACTAGCTATTAGAATACATGCATCATACCAAGTATGGAAAAATGAAAACAAAACTACCATTCAGAGCCTAGTAAATAAATCATTTAAGAAAATCTAAGCTCAACTCAACGATTTTTTATTCCCAATTTGGATTAATTCCTCTCATATCATTATTATAATCGAGTCGAATTAAAGGTGGAAAAACACCATGAAAAAGGGTCCCAAAAAAACTAATAATCGGTCAATAAACAGGTAAATTCGTCAAATAACATAAGTAAAGGCAATATAAGATTTTAAATGAAATTCCCGAATTTACAATTCAATCAAAGATTGTGTCTTTTTCTAAACCAAAAATCAATTAATTGAGAACGGGACAGAAAGTAAGTAAAAAGGAAAAAACCTCAGCAAGCTTGTTGCCTTGGTCTTGGAAGGACTGGGCAAGTAGTTTAAAGTCAGAATCCAACGCATCAGCAGAGGGTTTCTCCTGATTCTGAGAAGCGGCGGGTTCTTGATTCTGGAATTGCGTATTATCAGCAGAGGGTTGTTGTCCATCAAAGGGAAGGTTTGGGTAGCTTGCTATAGCTTCTATAGAGCGCTTCTTGTTGTTCTTCTTCTTGTTCCATGTTAGCTTCATCCTGCTTCTTCAACAATTACTTTCTTTTCGCTTCACACTTCAATTATCGAACGTCGCTACTTCCCAAAAACAATCCGGGTCAAAAATTCTGATCCATTCTCTATTCATGTTCTGGATCAAGCCCAACTAACGACTACTTTTTTTGACAATGGATTTTATATTTTAATATTTTTTTTATTAAATATAAGATAATATATATTCTAAAGATTCTTAATTATTTGATAATGTGTTGAAACATCTCTATTTGCATATATTACTACTCGAATTTTAGACTGTAAGAATAACCATCATCCTTTTTAACCATTACAGTAGCTTGTGCTTTAATAATTTTTATAGTTAAAAAATTTAGGGAAGCATTTTCCCATTATCGACAGTAGTTTTCGTCCGAGTGACGTTTTTATATATATATATCTATATATATATATATATATATATATATATATATATATATATATTATATATTATATGATAATATTATTAATAATATTATTATTATTTTAAAGCCCGAAGGCCCAGTTACAAAGCAAATTCAGGCCCGATTACAACTAAATCTGAGCCCGATCCAAATTCAAGCCCAGTAATCAATTCAGGCCCAACAATCAGCAAGCCTGCGAGAAGCCCATCAACAACTAGGTTTTTCATACTTCTCCAGCGCTGTCGCTCTTCCACAGCCGCTCGATCAGAGGCAGATCCAAGGGGCCAGAAACGATCCAGCAGGAACCCTAGGGTATCATTACCACCATAGGGCCTATTCCGGCCACCGCCTCTAGCTGCTCCAACCAGACGACGCTATGTCATCATCGCCTCTCCAGATCTCTCTTGAAGATTCCAGAGGTCACACAAGAGTCGCACAACGCATCACTCTATGGTGAGTCACCACCGTAGGTTCGGTGACTCACCGGGGTAGAGCCATCATTATGAACATCGATCAAGGACTATAAATAGCCCTAACCTGCAAGAGGAACTGTCGCGACCGTCTTTCGGTTAGGCCCGAAATTGGGCTTCGACTTGGATTGATTGGGTTAGAGTCGCCACCGACCACTTTAAAACGAATTTAGGTGGGTCGGACACCATCTTACCTGATCTGCGTTGTACCAGAAACGTGTCGGGTCCGAGAGTCGGTTACGGTCAAGGAAGGATTAGCACCCTTGAACCGCCCTTTCGGTACCCATTAATTTATCGGTTGTCTTTATTCGTGAAAATTTAAATTTAAATTTAAATTTAAGAACCCGATTCGAATTACTTACCTTTGATTAGTTGAAAAGTATCCCTAAAGTTGAAAATATTGTTAGATTGTAAAATGAAAATAAATATGAAAAAAGAAGAGAAAAATATTAATATAATAATAATAAAATAAATATAATAGATAATAAAGATAAATGAAAGTTAGTAAAAAAAAAGAAAAATAAAAAAATAAATAAAAAGGACCAAAATGAATGGTGTTCAAAGATGGAAGGATTACACCAAGGTTTAGCACTTTATAACACGTGGGTTACATGAAGCGAATGCATCAGGGTTTTTTAAACCCATAGGACCAATCCAAAATAAACCAGAATGAAATAAAACCATTAATGAGTTCCATGAAAATCCTCGGAAATCAGTTCCCCCATCCACACACAAATACATAATAGCTAAATCGCAAAATTGAAATAACACTTCTTGCATTTGGTCACTGTAGCACTTTCAAACAATTAGTTCGCCAATGCATTTCCATGGAAAATAAACAAAAAATGCACCTAGTAAGATCTTAACAAAAATCTACGCAATTGACATAGTAAATGGAAGTGATTTGTCCAATAAATAATATAGATAATTAGAATTCTTAGCTTCTAATAAATGGAACTAAAAATGATACGTAGCAATGAAACAATAGAGTAAACACAAACCCATAAGAAAGCTGATTTAAAAGAAAACCTTGACGGAGATCTTGCGATCACTTTGAAGCCTCTTGAACTTCTTGACACGCTTCTTCACAATCTTCTTGGACAGCAGAGGGACTGTCATTTCTTCCTTGAACAAAGACTCGTCGTCGCTTGTGGAAAACCGACCAAGCTTCTCCTCAGACTCCATTATCCATCGGAGGGTTACCAGCTCCAAGTTCACAACAACTGCTTCCTCACGTGCGAACCATTTTCGAAGTTGAGAATATAGTTTGGAGGTGGAAAATGGAAACTTTGAGGTAGACGATGAAAAATGTGGAAGCTTTCTGGTTTTGAAGTGTGGTTACAAAAGTGTAATAATGGTGAAGAGAAAAAAATGAAGAGGGTGGAGTTGATCCAAGCAAGAATCTCAGATCTTTCCACGAAGTAGGCCCCATCCGTCATTGGATTGCATTGAACCACCCTTTGCCATTTTTTCCTTTTTCCTCCCCTCTCCCTGGATGCATTCTCTTGAATTTAAAGTTCATTTGAATCAATAGGCAGGTCCCCACTTGCATTTTTTGAGGAGAGACGTGTAAGGTGGTGGTGTGGGGTTAATGGGATAGTGGGGGTTGTTACATATGGGGCCTGAAAAAAAAATTAAAAAAATATTATTATTAATAATATTAATAATAAATAAATAAATATTTTTTAAAATCTGGACAAAAACGGGTGTCTACAGCTGCCCCTCTTTGCACATTCTTGTGTTAACAAGGATAGGGCAAAGACTAAAAAGACAACAAGTTTTTGTCCAGATATCTCTGATGTGATTGGGCTTCCTAGAATTGGGCCTTTGTCTTCTCCTCGGTTTAAAGATTTCGGCTTAAAAATTCTTCCATAAAGTAGTTCATCGCTGTCATCGAGCTGAATGAAATCAAACTCGTCGGGTCTTTGGTTGGCAGATAGCCCTTCTCGACTTAAGCTATGCTGCAAATGATGTGCCTTGGAGCTGAGCGTAGTCAAAATCAAAGGTCTTTGGTTGGCAAATAGCCCTTCTTGCCTTGAGCTATGTTGCAAATGATGTACCTTGGAGCTGAGTGTAATTGAACTCGAAGGATTTTTTGGTTGGTAGATAACCCTTCTCGACATAAGTTATGCTGTAAATGATGTGCCGTTGAGCTGAGCGTAGTCGAACTCGAAGGTCTTTGTTGACAGATAATCCTTATTTGAGTTGGATATCCTTCGTCGCGAGGTTGAAATCCAATCTAAAGATGGATGATGCTTGTGTGCACGATTCTCTTCGTCGTGAGATTGAAACCGCGGGTGACCCCTTCATCGTGAAGTTGAGCCTGGAATTGGATATCCTTCCAAGTAAGTAGCATTGTTCCGAGTCCAATATCCTTCGTCTTGAAGTTGAAATTGGCTCTGGAACCGGGAAATTGTTTGTTGACAACCAGTCGTCCCTTCGTTGTGAAGTTGAACTTGTGTTGTCTCGAGTCCAATATCCTTCGCTGTGAAGTTGAAATTGGCTCTGAAATTGGGAAGTTGTTTGTTGACAACCAGCCGTCCCTTCGTTTGTGAAGTTGAACTTGTGCTGTCTCGAGTCTAATATCCTTCGCTATGAAGTTGAAATTGACTCTGAATGAAATTTTACTGACAATCAGCCGCCCCTTCGTCGTGAAGTTGAGCTTGTGTTGTCTTGGGTCTAAGATCCTTCGTTGAGAAGTTGAAATTGGGAAGTTATTTATTGACAACCAGCGGTCCCTTCGTCGTGAAGTTGAACTTGCATTGTCTTGAGTCCAATATCCTTCGCTGTGAAGTTGGGAAGTTGTTTATTGACAACCAGCGGTCCCTTCGTCTTGAAGTTGAACTTGCGTTGTCTTGAGTCCAATATCCTTCGCTGTGAAGTTGAAATTGGCTCTGAAATTGGGAAATTGTTTATTGCCAACCAGCGGTCCCTTCGTCATGAAGTTGAACTTGCATTGTCTGGAGTCCAATATCCTTCGCTGTGAAGTTGAAATTGGCTCTGAAATTGAGAAGTTATTTGTTGACAACCAGCGGTCCCTTCGTCGTGAAGTTGAACTTGCGTTGTCTGGAGTCCAATATCCTTCACTGTGAAGTTGAAATTGGCTCTGAAATTGGGAAATTGTTTGTTGACAACCAGCGGTCCCTTCATCGTGAAGTTGAACTTGCATTGTCTGGAGTCCAATATCCTTCGCTGTGAAGTTGAAATTGGCTCTGAAATTGGGAAGTTGTTTTTTGACAACCAGCGATCCCTTCGTCGTGAAGTTGAACTTGAGTTGTCTTGAGTCCAATATCCTTCGCTGTGAAGTTGAAATTGGCTCTGAAATTGGGAAATTGTTTATTGAAAACCAGCGGTCCCTTCATCGTGAAGTTGAACTTGCGTTGTCTGGAGTCCAATATCCTTCGCTGTGAAGTTGAAATTGGCTCTGAAATTGGGAAGTTGTTTATTGACAACCAGCGGTCCCTTCGTCGTGAAGTTGAACTTGCGTTGTCATGAGTCCAATATCATTCGCTGTGAAGTTGAAATTGGCTCTGAAATTGGGAAATTGTTTGTTGACAACCAGCGGTCCCTTCGTCATGAAGTTGAACTTGCATTGTCTAGAGTCCAATATCCTTCGCTGTGAAGTTGAAATTGACTCTGAAATTGGGAAGTTGTTTATTGACAACCAGCGGTCCCTTCGTCGTGAAGTTGAACTTGCGTTGTCTGGAGTCCAATATCCTTCGTTGTGAAGTTAAAATTGGCTTTGAAATTGAGAAGTTGTTTGTTGACAACCAGCGGTCCCTTTGTCGTGAAGTTGAACTTGCGTTGTCTGGAGTCCAATATCCTTCGCTGTGAAGTTGAAATTGGCTCTGAAATTGGGAAGTTGTTTATTGACAACCAGCGGTCCCTTCGTCGTGAAGTTGAACTTGTGTTGTCTGGAGTCCAATATCCTTCGTTGTGAAGTTGAAATTGGCTTTGAAATTGAGAAATTGTTTGTTGACAACCAGCGGTCCCTTCGTCGTGAAGTTGAACTTGCGTTGTCTGGAGTCCAATATCCTTCGCTGTGAAGTTGAAATTGGCTCTGAAATTGGGAAAATTGTTTATTGACAACCAGCGGTCCCTTCGTCGTGAAGTTGAACTTGCATTGTCTGGAGTCCAATATCCTTCGCTGTGAAGTTGAAATTGGCTCTGAAATTGGA